ACGCTGACCTCCAGTATGGCTGTTACCATGCAAGCTGCAGTGCTTCCAATAGGCGCCAACCTACAGACGCACGGCAGCTGCCTTGAAATAATCAGGATCAAGACTGAGGAGAGGGCAACAGTGAGAAGACAAGGAGTAGTTCTCCCTTCCCTAACCCGGCAGAAGAAAAGGGTGTGATGTGTAGTGCCAGTTTGCGAGTAAACGTTTCCGTGACTTCTACAGTAACAGTTGTAGATCACCGACTTGTCAATGAACTTAAAAGTTCATGATAAATGTCACAACAGGCCAACCAAAAAACGAGTATAGTACAATGGCTCAGTTAGTTAGAAATTAATACAGTCGACGTTTAAATTCCTGAATTGCCAAGCGGGGGTTATGCTGATTTATCCTTCAACTCACAGAGACAGTTATGTTCTAGACATTAGTATCTGTATTTGCACTTTTTCCTCCATTTCGTATCAATTATAACAATTTTATAACAATGTAAGAAATAAATGAAAAAGGGTGAGACATACCGTAATTGTGTGTAAGCTAATTATAGCAATATCATTCCGGTAAGACCATCAAGAGAAGATGTCCTATCCTCTCCAAGTAACATCCAACACTAGTGTTGGACAAGGTACGTCAAAGCTTTTATATTTATTCCAGGGGCGGATCCAGGTATTTTAGTTCTGGGGGCCTCAACTTGTACTCCCAGGTGAAGCCAATAATTTTAATCCTTCCACGCCGTTGCACATTGATCTCTACTACGTAGACCTATGCCGTCATGATACACGCAGTAATGTGACATTCTACTCGTTACGAAACGAGCTTTGAAGCAATCGTCTCTTCTTTTAAGGGGTACAATAACTTTTTTCAATATTAAACTTCATAGTTTCATAGCAACGGGAAATGCACGTTCTATTTTTAGGCTACGGGATGAAAGCCGTAAGCGACCTTTTGGGGATATTTCGGGGGTTATTTTAATTTTATAGCAGTAAGTTAAGTACTTTGAAACGTCTGCGGTCCCTCCGACCCTCCCCTTGGAGAACTAGGATTCAAGGACCAGTCGCATAAATCTAACGTCAGACGGAACTGCCTTTCTCTGGCGTTAAAATAAAGAGTTTGAATGGGCTGAACGTCAGATGGAGTGCTGACTTCTGGCGTTAAAATAAAGAGTTTGAGTGGGCTGAATGCCGGGAACTGCTAAGGTCTGGCGTTAAAATGAAGAGTTTGACTAAGATGATGATGTAGCTGGTAACGTGTTAAAACAAACAGTTTGGATGGGATGAACGTCAGATGTTTGCTGTTACGTGAGACGTTAAGATTTATGCATTAAAGGCGTACTTCGATTGGGGTAACTATGTTGCTTAGATACAAAAGACATGGAGGCATGTAATGTCATAGCTGTTACTTTTGTCTCCAGTGTGGATGAATTTGTATGAAGTGATCGCGCATTCAAGTGAAACCTTTTTGTGCAACGGGGGACAAAAGTGTGGGGGCCTTTTTCCTAGTAATATTAGTAAAATTGGCGACCTCACCCCTCCTACCCAAACAAAATTAACTTTTGAGCAAAGTGGATATTTAGGGCGCGACATCGCTGGGGGAGTTGAAGATGAAGGAATGAACCCAAAGCCCATCACAAAATTGTCATTAGGAGCAGAGTCGTAAGTAACAATTATTAGGGAAGGATTTTTCCAGCTGTCCCAAGTTCTTTTGACTGCCATTATGCACAGTGGGTTTCACACGACACTATGTTTTAGGATTTTACAAAATGAGATGTCTTGAACTCTGATTTTGCATGGCAACTATAGGAAAAGCTGAGATGAAAAATAGACCGCTCCGTCAAGAAAAGCTAAGTGGGTAAGGGGTGTACGACTAAAAGTGATATTACCTGTTTAATAAGGATTTTTTTTATTTGCGATGTTTTAAATTTATCATAAACATAATTGTTGTTTACATTGTCGTGATCCTACCTTTTGAGACCACCCTTAACTACCTTATGGTTTCATTTGCGAGCGATTTGTCATGGTCTGATTTTACAGCCCCAATAATTCCACTCAGCCCAGTACTTGTCTAATTTTCGAATAGTCATCC